TGAGGTAAGAGATCAACTGAAGGACTTGTATGCATGCATATAAGCATAACCAATGGACGCAAGACACTGGAGGGATGAGGGGAGGGCATGTGCTGGGGGAGTAGGGGAGGCCAGGGGAAGGTCAATGGGGAAAAAAAGAAGACATAAGTACTAGTATTTGTAATACTTCAAACAATAAAATAAAACTTTTTTTAAAAGTATATTTTTTAAAAAAGAAAATAAAAATGATTATGTATTAATAAATTCACTATATCCCTGTGACACATGGAGATAGCTCTTTTCAACAAAAAATTTAAAGAGTATTTCTTTTTTTAAAATATATTTTATTGATTTTTTTACAGAGAGGAAGGAAGAGGGATAGAGTTAGAAACATCAATGAGAGAGAAACATTGATCAGCTGCCTTCTGCACACCCCCTACTGGGGATGTGCCCGAAACCAAGGTACATGCCCTTGACTGGAATTGAACCTGGGACCCTTGAGTCCGCAGGCCGATGCTCTATCCACTGAGCAAAACCGGTTATGGTAAGAGTATTTCTTGAGTTATTTTATGAATATGTTTTAAGAATATCTGGTTGTGTTTATTGAGAGCTTTTATGTGAAGGTTTCTTTAAGATATCTGTATACCTACCAATAATCTTCTTTAAACTCTTAATCCTAGTGCATTCCTTAGGTGTTTCTCATTCAAATCCTTGCAACGAGTTTCTTCTCCTTTGATGAAATTAGTCAATAGTAAAAAAAAAAAAGGTATTGCTTTCTTGTTGGGACTATGCTGTCTCTGAGCTATTTTCTTCAAGCTCTTCTATGGGTTGAGACTTCTCTGTTCAGACTTGTCGAACTAGTTTCATTTCAACTACTTGTAATTTGTTTCCTTATTTCTTGTAGCTGTAGACCTTTAATACACGAGAGATGTCATATAGTTGATTAGAAAGTCGAGTTCAGTGGGTGCATGCTTCCAAGATCATATCTTCCTCCTGTAGATGATGTTTCGGTAAGTTCAGCTTTGTTTTGTAAATGGCTTGTTTGCTCTGCTGTGTGTCAGTGGCTAGATTTTTGGTGTGTCAGAGGCTCCTGTGAGGTGTCCTCAGTGGACTGAATCTCCATTGGATTTTGTGAGATATCTGAAATTGTTATAACAGATGAATTAATCTCTGTATTTGAAATTAGTGTTTTTGTATTTAAAAGATCATTGTCAGCATTATTGCACATTGTGAATTTCAAATAGTTGGGATTTTAGAAGTTAATGAAAACTATATTACATTGCATCCTGATTGATTCTGATTTTGGGGTTAGGAGAAAGGTGTTCATTTGTTTTTTAAAAAACCTGTTAGCAATCTGACTAAATTTAGCTTCTATGGCACTTTCCCTTTAGCTGCTTTTCCTTGTACTTTCAAGTCAGTCCCTGGGAACTAATGCAGATTGGGAGGTCAGTAACTATAGAGGCACCTGCCTTCATCATAGAACTGTCAGGACTTCTTGGGGGAAGAAAGAAAACAGGAGACCTGGATTGGGGAAAACATGTCTATTCTCTTAAAATTTTTCTATTAAATATTAAGAAAAAAGAAAACTATGATTTCAAATTTTTTGTTTTTCAAATGGGGTTTGCTACATGCAGAGGAGAGGAAAAAGTAAGATTTTTGATATAACTTTATACACATTTAAAATAGTGACTTTCACCATCCATGATGACAATAATACTTCACCATTTATGCCATCTCAAAACATTTGTATTTATGTTATTTCATTTAATAGCCAGGACACTGTTGTGAGATCAGTAGAACAGGTATTGTTAACTCTGACTTTAAAGAGAAATCTGAGGGAAACAGAAGTGAAGGAGCCTCCCAGGTCTATGGAGCTGTGTAATGACAGAGCCCGAGAGCTGCAATGCACAGCTCCTCAAGTCCAGTCTTCCCGGACTCCTGCAGACGCTCCCGGGGGGCCAGGGTTCCAACCGGGGAAATTTCAGAGATGAGAACTTGACTCTAGATTGGCCACTTAATTAATGAACTTCCCTCGGCTTCCTTCCCCACTAATAAAATCCATATTTGTATCAGCACTTTAGTGAGCACATTGCAATTGTCAAAGGGTCTGAGATCCTGAGAGCAGGTCTATAAAGCTTCACACATAATCGGCACTCCATAAATATTTGGTGAACACATGAACGAGTAAACACATGTAACTGTTTAGCATTAATGTTTTGCTTATTAAAATTTATTGATTTTGAAAATGTATATCCCATTTCATTGAAAGCATGATGTTGTAAAGCAGTAGTTCCAACCTTTCATATTTCACATTCCCCAAATTATTCTTTTAAGAATATGAAGTCTCATGATTACAGATACCCAAAATCATTTTTTTCTAATGAATATCTGTGTATATGGGAATGTGTTCAGTTTTAGGGAAGTAAATTACAGGAATAATTTTGGAAATCAATGCTTTTGTTTAGGGCACCCATGACATTTGTTGTTAAAGAAAGGAGACAGTAGGAATCATCAAAAGTTTATGGTTCCTTTAAGATAAATTCAAGGAACACTAATCCAGGATTTAGAGGATTTGTAGGAGGTGGCAGGTCACACTAACAGGTGAATCTGAGGACTGAGGCAAAGCAAAAGCTTAATAATTTCAGGTATCCCCACTTTTCAAAAGTTCATGCTATGCCACTTCACTGTTACAAAAAAATCTACATTAGTATCTGTTTTTGTTAATTGAAAGAAATCCAAAGAGGACTTTCGCTTTTATAAAAAAAAAAAAAGAAAGAAAGAAAAAAAAACTACGAAAAGCGAAAATAGCATTCAGTGTTTGTTTTGCAGTGAGCTATACAGAGGCAGCAAACCGTGAGCATTGAAGGCATCATCAAGCTCAATCTAGTTTATACAGGCTACGTATTTATCACTATCATTCCTGTTCTTACTACATGTTAGTGTTACTTTAAGTTGTGTGTGTTATTTGGTATGATCTGATAAGTTACTTTGGGGATCTGGGAATGCACGAAAATTTTTCCATATAAATTAATGATAAATGTTTCTTCCCTTTATACCACTTATGCTTACTAGAGGTTTCATAGGAATGCTCCACTTCCAGAGAGTGGGGGAAGCCGTTGCCATGACACGCTATATCTCACCTACATTAAATCTACAATACGTTCTACAATCACACTCACTATTCCTACTTCCCAATGAACAAGAAATACAATGGGAACCCTTGTCAAAATATATTTGACCCATATCTTCACTGTTTCTGCTCTATGGAACCTTAGGTCTCTTCTCTATGGATTTAGTGACCCTCTTCTCTACATCTCAGAGATATCTTTAGTGTTTGAAACTTGCTGTGAATATTCATTTGCATTTGCCTTTCACAATATCCAAACCCCTACTCTTCTTTAAAAATGTATTAATTGGGAGAATTACTCACTTAAAATCTCAGTTATTTCCCTTGCACAAATAAAATACTAAATGACTTCATCTGAGATTGTTGTCCTTTTCCCATAAGTCTGCATCTCCCTCTCTTCCTATAGCACATTATTTTTGGCATTGCTAAATAAATGCAAAAATTAGATTCCTCCTCTCCATTTTTATTCTTTAGAGAAAAAGGTAGTCCTGGGAAAGTCTTTGCTAACATTTACATTTTATATTTTAATTTCATTCTGAATACTTATTTTAAACAATTTGTTAATTTGCCAAGCCCACTCTCTAATATATTTAAAAAAAACCTCTATCTTCAGAATTAAAATCAAAATAGTAAAGTAAAACCTTCATGTTTCTTACTGATTACTAAGCATTGTGAAAATTATCCATTTTACTGTTTTTTAATTCTTCAGCAATTTCATAGTGTTTAGATACTGTTAGATACTATTATTATCTCCATTTCATAGATGAAAAAGTAACTGGCCATACACCATCAAAGGTAGTAAAGTGAAGAGTTAGGATTTGAGGCAATCTGGAATCAGAGCTTAACTATTAAGATATTCTGCTTTTCCTTTTTTTTGTTTTCGTTTTGTTTGCTTATAATTTTCAAGCAAAAATAACTTTTGTTTTTTAAAATTTGAATAAAAGATCCATATTGCTAGTCACTCAAAACTCCACAAAGCTGTGGCAACAACTATGTGAGATAACCCGTACGAAAACACCTGACCCACAGAATAAGTTTAATATGTGCTAGAGTCCTTCATTACTCGCTTCATTGCTTCACACTTCTGGGCAGTATTTATTGTCACGGTTTTAAGGTGGGACAATTGAAATTCAGAGAAGTCATATAAATTTCTCATGATACATGTTAAAGAGTTATAAGCGGGGACTGAGGCCAAATTCTTCTACTCCAAAAGACAGGGCCATATCTGCAATACAGGATGCCTTCCGAACATTTGTCGGGGCAGGTGAAGACTTAAAGGAATTTTTAAAACCTTTGTCTCAGAAAAACTCTGTGTTTTTCTTCACTTTCACACTACTGCCACATTCACAACACTTTGACACCGGCTGTGTGGGGCTTTCCCCCAAACAATTCTGGAGCACCAGCTGTCCTACAATTCAGTTCAGTTCTGACACTAATCAGAATTAGCACAGATCCCTTGGGTGAAGGGCTCATTCCCATTAGACTACCCTTGCCCCACTTCAGATGCCAACTCCTCTTCTGGGTTTCTATACACTTGTTTTTTATGCTGCTTGAAATTTCACACATTATTCATTTGGGTTAATAGGAATCCTGTTCTGGAAAAAAGAAAAAAAATTTCACTCTCAAAGGGAAGTTTGATATCTCAGAGAAAGATGGGATTCTGAGTACTAGTGGCCAAAATTAGATTATCATTCTGCCCACTGACTGTATATACTGAGCAAATTATTTGCCTGTAAAATGAAGATAAATAACTCTGCTGACAAGAGTCTTTAGAGGATGAAAGATTACAAGATATCAACAACTCCTACAAAGTCAGCACTTAATAAAAGTCAGCTCTTGTTCTTATTACTTTTAGTATTAAATGGTCATTCTAGAATAGTCATATGTTAGGTCCTCACAAAAGGATGCTTTTCTGTAAAAAATGCCTGATATTAGTGGCTCAGAAGGAATGATGATTTTCACTGGTGAAAGGAGAGTTTGGCACTTTGGTTCTATAAGAACTTGCCTCCAGAGGTGGGAACCAGGCTGGAGAAAGAGGAGCAGTTTTCTGCACCAAATGGCTCCCAGGAAGTTAGTGCATTTAGCACCTTTGTTCAGTTACATTAGGAGTTAAATAGACATCTAAGTTGGCCTGGGAAGCTAACCGATAATTTCTTTTAAAATCAGATAGTATATTTTACACTTCAAAACTGTCTTTATGAAGAGTTACGAGACCATAACCTATCTGTAAATTGGTGCTTGTAAACAATCACATGTCTCTATCTGCATTTGTGTAAAGATACCACGGTAAACAATCACATGTCTCTATCTGCATTTGTGTAAAGGTATCATGTTTCTACGGTGGGGCCTTGACTTACGAGTTTAATTCGTTCGGAGACTGAGCTCCTTAAGGAGCTCGTTAACTCAAATTACTCTGTCAACTCAAAGCAAAAAACCGGCCGAGAGACAGCTGGTATCTCAAAAAACTCGTTAGTCAGGACACTTGTAAGTCAAGGCCCCACTGTACAAGGAAGCAAAAAGCCCTAGCTGGTTTGGCTCAGTGAATAGAGCCTCAGCCTTCAGACTGAAGGGCCCGAGGTTTGATTCTGGTCAAAGGCACATGCCCAGGTTGTGGTCTCGATCCCCAGTGGAGGGTATAAAGGAGGCAGTCAATCAATGACTCTCTCATCATTGATGTTTCTATCTCTAAAATCAATAAAAATATATTTTAAAAAATAAAGCAAAAAATATTATTGGAAAAGGAAATATTTGGAACTTGTAGAAAAAATTATAAAGGGCATGTGGTTGACTGTGGAGTAAGCCAAAGTTGCTGCCTTCAGGGAAAGCCTTTCTAGAAAAAGGTAGATCCATGTGGAGTGAGTTAGCCTTTTGCTAACTCAAATATATAGAACTCACATATATGAAAGTCCTCAGGTTACAGCATGGTTGCTGAGGAAATGAATATCCCAACTCTGATCATTAACAATTCATACTGCTCTATATATTCTTCAAGACACATATCTTTCAGTCTGAAAGATTGCAGAAAGCAAAATTACCAAATTATTCAAATTATCACGTTTTCATTGACATCTTTGGAAAAATTATGCCATGAATATACTGAATAACCAAGCTTAATGAAGATATAATGAGTATGAAAAACTGGATTTCATTGAATACAGATTGCCAATTAGGTCATAATGAGGGATTAATTTTAGCTTTCTTTCCATTTTAATTTCCAAGGGTTCACATTGCATTCCCCAAATTATTGCTTGAAAAAATATCCCTTAATCTTCTAATTGCATGCTTAACATAGAATTCCATTGTAATGAGATAATTCTTCACCACCCCCACAATTAGAGATTTAAATCTCACATGCTTTTTTATGAAGTCTATAGATTTCTGTCCATTTTTATCGAAGTCATAATATTTTGTGATAAATTTATATGATTCTTAGTCCTTCATGCACATATTCCTTCTCCTATTTATTCAAACAAATATAGGTGCTGCTGTGAAGGAATTTTGCAAATATAATTAAGGTCTGAATCAGTTGATTTTAAGATGGGGAAATTATTCTTTGTGCCTAACCTAATCAGGTGATACCTTAAAAAAGGACAAGCTCGCCCTGGCCAGGTGGCTCCATTGGTTGGAGCATCGTCCCAGACACCAAAAAGTTGTGGGTTTGATTCCTGGTCAGGCAATAGGTTGTGGGTTCCATCCCCAGTCATGACACATACGGAAGGCAACCGATGGATGTTTCTTTCTCACATCCATGTTTCCCTCTCTCTCCTTCTCTCTCCCTCCTTTTCTCTCTCTCTCAAATCAATAGAAACATAGCCTTAGGGGAGGATTTAAAAAAGTATAAGGCTCTACCTGAAGAGAAATTCAGAATATCAGAGAGATTTAAAGTGAGAGAGATTCACCACCACTGGCTTTGAAAATGGAGTGGGCCAAATGGCAGAAAGATTTCAAAGTTCATAAAACTCCTTGAGTTCTAACCTTTTTGTTTTGGTTCTTCTTTTGTGTGTTTTTGAATGACTTGGAGACATACTGATAAGATTCTCTGAGAAAATGAATGGTCAAATATATAAAGAATAAATGAGTGAGTGACTAAATAACTATATAAATAATAAACATATTTAAAAATTAAAATGCAATCAATGGAGATGCAGTCTGGCACTGAGAAAAAAAATGGGTTGAAGGAGTGAGAATTCATGAGTTTAATATTACTGATGGTTCTATTATATTGGATAATGACTTTTTTGTCTCTGGGCCTCAGTTTCCTCATCTAGAAAATGCATTAAATTATACTAAGTAGTCTCTAAGTTCTCCCTCATATTTGAATTTTTAGATTTTAAGCCATTTAAGAGACTAAGTGATGTTACTCCCCATGGACCTTCTGCTTCCTGCTTCTATCATCTTAGCTCTTGTCCATCAGAGGACACACTGCCTTTCCACAGCCAGTTAAAAATAAAAGATAAAAAGTAAATGGAGTAAGATATCCTTCTTTTTTACACTGTATAAATGTACCACAGTTTTTAATCCACTCATTTACTGATGGGCACTTGGGTTTTTTCCTGATCTTAGCTATTGTAAATAACACAGCTATGAACATAGGGGTGTACATATTTTTTTCTGATTGGTGTTTCTGGCTTCTTAGACTTAGCTATTGTAAATAACACTGCTATGAACATATGGGGTGTATATATTTTTTCTGATTGGTGTTTCTGGCTTCTTAGTATAGATTCCTAGAAGTGGGATCACTGGATCAAATGGCAATTCCATTTTTTTTTTTGAGGAATCTTCACACTGTTTTCCACAGTGGCTATACCAGTCTGCATTCCCACCAGCAGTGTACTAAGTAGAGTTCCTTTTTCTCCACATCCTCACCAGCACTTGTTTGTTGATTTGTTGATGGTAGCCATTCTGGCAGGTGTGAGGTGGTATCTCATCATCATTTTAATTTGCATCACTCTGATGATTAGTGATGTTGAATATATTGTCATATGTCTCTCGGCCATTTTTATGTTTTCTTTGAAGAAGTGTCTGTTCAGGTCCTCTGACCATTTTTTAATTAGGTTGTTTGTTGAGATGGATGAGTACTTTATCAACCTTTGAGAAATCATGGAGGGATGTGAGAGTATTATGCTAAGTGAAGTCAGCCAGTCAGAAAAAGATAAGTATCACATGATCTCACTTATATGTGGAATCTAATGAACAAAATAAACTGATGAACAAAAGAGTTCCAGAGACATTAAAGCAAGTAACAGACTGACGTATTTAAGAGGGAAGGGGGAGAGAAATGGAAGAGATTAATCAATGAACTTATATGCATAGCCCATGGACAGACAATATTGCCGGGAAGACCTTGGGAGGAGGTGTGAGCGGGGTAGAGTGGGTCAAAGGGGGGGGAGGAAAGGGCGACATCTGTAATACTTTCAACAGTAAAGATAAATTTAAAAAATGTAAATGGGATAATAGATTTGAAATTACTTTGTAAACTCTAAAAGGGTAGACAAATAAAAGATAATTTTTAAAGTACTGGAGAAAGAAGAAATGGTCCTTTTTCAAGCATGCATGCTACTTTGGACCACACTGTTAAGGGAAATCAGATCTGGCCACCACAGAGAGCCATGAATAGCCTCTAGAAATAGAAAACTGAAGCAATATTATGGATTCCCAAATTTTCATCTTTTCCACACCTCCCCTCACACCAAGATGACCTTGACCAAAATGGAAGACAAATACCATCTTGCTGGGAAAGGTAAGCTAAAGCAGCTTGCACTTACTCAAGGAGTATCAGAAAGCCTGTGACCATGACTATGTGAGAGTTACTGGTGAGTTTTCCTTTATGCAGAGCAGTAGGATTTGGCACCCGAAGCCGAGATTTGAAACCATGGATGATTGCCCTTCTCGTTGTGTTATTGCTGATTGTGGTGGCAGTGACCATTGGTCTTCTGGCTCACTTCTTAGTCTCTGGTAGGTAAAGTTATGGATTTCACTCAGTTTGAGTTCATTTTTCTGTCAAGCTTCATTCGCATACATGAATGTAATTTCATCCAAAAGACATTTGTGCTTTTACCTGTAAATGCCCACATTCTGAATATTTTTATTTATTCAATTATTTCATCAACAACTAATAACTGAATGCCTATTATATGCAACTACTTTTCTGGGTATTCAAGATAGAGCATTAAGCGAAGCAGACCAATTTCCTATATCCTTGGAGCTCACAATCTAGTATTCTTTTGAGAACTACACAAAAGATCAAAGATATTAATCATAATACATTCTAATCTTCATTGTACATTCAAGGGAAAAACTATGATAAATTACTTACTAAATTAGTAACTAAAATTGGCTCTTTTACTCATAATTTTTCTGTCCACCAACATTTCAAAGCTAAAAGCAAAGCACATGTCCAAGGAAATGATTAATTTTGAAATGACTGGTAAACTATAAATATGACACAATGTTTTTACTAATTTTTAGAGAAAAATTTGCACTCTCCAAAATAATATTCAGGGATTTTTGTATTGCCTGATATATTTATAATCACATAAACAATGCATTTTAGAATTGCCTCTTCTAACATTGCATTTTTCTCTGCACAGAGTAAAATCCATTTACATTTTTTGACAAATCTCTACAATGTGACTCTGACCCAGGTTATGTGATAAAACAAATAGTTCAGGTTGCTAACTTGAGTGGTCTTATCTGCTGTCCCTTTCCTCAGACTTGATGAGGGACTGAAGACTCCATTATGAGCTTTAAAGGGCTTAAGAACATAGTTCTGGGTCCAATATAACAATCCAACCTATAGTTTACATGATGGCAAAGAGTTTTAGGTCAGTTAATTTCATTGCACAAAAACTCCTTCGCTATGATTAAAAAGATTGATAATTGTGGATTGTATGGATAAACATCAGGGGGTCTAAAAAGCATTCCATATCCAGAGATGTCCCACTTAGGAGAGAGACTATCCTGAGATCCCTGTTTCTTTCCTAGCTCCATGGAAAACCCTCATTGTGTCCTGTCTATGCCAGGCTCCCCGAGGAGAAAGGTTGTTTTGTGGTTGCTCTGTTCTCAATTTCTAACTCTCTCATAGCTTTCTTGCCCACCCGCCCTCCACCTGGACGCTTTCCTCCTGAGATTACCAAATTCCTCAGTACTTCCCACAGTTCTCTGTGTTCTCTCCTTTCTTACTGATTCATCCCAGTTTCACACTGTTCTCACTACCAACCTGATAGTGTTCCCCTGCCTTTCTTTTCATGTATTTCTTAGTGTTCTCACATTACAAATTAAAATGTATAAAGATTTTTATTTGAAAAAAATTAATTTAAAATATAAGTGAAAACATAAAAAAATTTATTTACGTCTACTTCCAGTAGAGTATACGATGGCATACACTTCACCTCAGCAAGGGGTCATATGGTAATTAAACGTTCCAGGACTAGAGCCAGACTGTCCGGGTTTAAAACCCAGGTAGGTCACGCACCGCTTCCATAGCATAGAGCAAGTTTCTTAACACCAGTGAGCCTCACTTCTCTCATTGGTGAAATGGAGGTGATTATAATCTTAGAGAGCTGGAGTGAGGAAATGCTACAGGTAGAGTGCCGGGAATGGGGCGTGGCACATAATAGGCATTCAATAAATATAAGCTGCTGTTATTAACCAGCGGTATTAATCATTTTCACTGTACTTTTTATTAAACTAAACTAGAAAGGCTCTCAGCAATATATTCAAGACCATATTAGCCTCATTATAGTTGGATTCTGAATTTTTTTCCAAAACCACTTAATTTTCTGCTTTTCCTTTTCACCGCAGGCCAGAAAACGGAGTATTATCATGGTGTCTTTAAAATTTTAGATGTACGAACCAATAGTGATTCTGGACACAATGGTGTATACCAACTGAAGGACTTAAAAGAGATAAGTGAAAACTTGGTAAGTCAGACACAATTATTTCTATCATAGGATAATGCAGGTGGAAAGGATTTTGTAGCTCATTTCACTCAATATTTTTCAAAACCTAAGTTTCAGACTACCTGCACCAGAATCATCGTGCAGATGCCGAGGTCCCGCTCCAGACCCACTGGATAGGTGTCTGATGGGAAGGGCAGGGCAGGATAGGGGAGCAAGGGCGTCAGCATGTCTAACAAATGGGTCGTCCTGTTTAACCACTCTTCCTGACTCAACTACTTCATTTAAAGGTGAGAGAACTGAGGCCGTAATATTACCTAAACGGGAACGCTTAACCATGTCAGAAGTGGTTATTTGTAAGACACATGCTTGTTTTTGGAGACCACATTTTAAAATTTTAAAGATTTTTAAATACATGAGGAAAGATGATCATAAATATTCATTTTCTCTTACATAGTAATAAAGTTAAAATACCCAGGCTTATTACAATTTAGTTCAATGAAATGCTAACACATTTTTTAAAACTAAAATTAAAGAATGCTCCTAAAAGGGAAAAAAAAGTAAACTTAGCTGTCCAATAATTTTGCTCAAGATACCTTGAACCCTTACTTAAATGCTAAGCTCAAGTTAACTTTCCTGTTAACACAGAAATACAGTTATTTTAAAGATGTAAAAATAACAGTTGTATTGATTTGTTTTAGTCAAAGAACTTTTATCCCTCTCAAAACATTTTCTTTTTTCCTTCAAATCAATTTTTATTTTTTCCATATCACCATCCAATCTTTGTCCTAGGCATTCTCAATTACAGCATATGGTAAATTTAGAGATGAGGTTTATAATGTATGTTTTCAATTATCATTAAATCATGCATACTTATTCTATATTGAAGTTTCATTCCCCCAAATCAATAACCATTTACAGATTGATATACATCCTTAAATTCTTCTATATTCTTGACACCTTAGAAAATAGAATTTGTAATCAGTTCTTGAGGAATGACAGTTAAAAACTATATATATATACCCTAGTACTCCTTTATTCCTCTAATCCTGAGAAACTCCACATAACTTCCTCAATGAAAAATATGAGTATACGTAGTGAAAATGGTATACAAATTATTTGAACAATGGGAAATTTATAGTAAGTATTGAGACAGTTAAAAATCTGTGTTTTTTATTTTATTTTATGTTTTCTTCTCAACATTGTTGTTGTTGTGTTAGGCTAACTGAGATATTGTCTTTATTGAAGTGAATGGACAAGAATGCAATAGATGTTTTAAAAGAAAGCGAAAGAAATGATAAAGTACACCTATAACAGGAACTGTGTTTGGAAGTAGACTTTTAGGTTTCAATACAGAATTCATTTCTAGGAATGGAGAAGCCTTAGAGCAGTGGTTCTCAACCTTCTGGCCTTTTAAATACAGTTCCTCATGTTGTGACCCAACCATAAAATTATTTTTGTTGCTACTTCATAACTGTAATGTTGCTACTGTTATGAATCGTAATGTAAATATCTGATATGCAGGATGGTCTTAGGCGACCCCTGTGAAGGGGTCGTTTGACTGCCAAAGGGGTCGCGACCCACAGGTTGAGAACCGCTGCCTTAGAGGCAAAGGCTAAGTTAGGTAATGACACTATCATCCTGAGTACATGCAAGGCCTTCTCTAGGCATCACTATATTTTTTCTTTATTGATTAAGGTATTACATATGTTTCATAAGCCAGTCAGAGAAAGATAAATATCACATGATCTCACTTATTTATGGAATATAATGAACAACATAAACTGATGAACAAAAACAGATCCAGAGACAGAGAAACATTGATCAGACCGTCAAACCTCAGAGGGAAGGTAGCGAGGGTGGGGGCAAGGAGGAGAGATCAACTAAAGGACTTGTAGGCATCACTATTTATGATTCTTTATTCTCATAGTACACTCCCATTCATCTCCCTCTGCAGGTGACCATTCTGTATTTCATGTGTAGACTTTTGTTTGTATTTATTTTTTGCAAAAAATACTTTTTGTTGTTTTGTATGCACATGCTTTTAATTATTCTTTGTGTTATAAATCACTTGGCTTAGTCAGGTCTGGCTGCTTCCCAAAGTACCACAGACTGAGTGGCTTATAAAGAGCAGAAGGTCACCTCTCACAGTTCCAGAGGCTGGAAGCCTAAAGTCGTGGCACCAGCATAATCAGGTTCTGTGAGGGCCCTCTTTCAGGTCAGACCATAGACTTCTTGGGGTATCTCACAGGGTGGAGAGCAGGGAGCTACACAGCCCTTGGAGTCTCTTTAGTCAGGGCACCAATTTATGACCATTTATGACCTAATTACCTCCCACTATCTTCCCACTTCCTGATATCTTTACCTTGGGGGTTAGGATTTCAACATATGAGTTTTGGGTTAAACAAATATTCAGTCCACTGTATCACTTTTTGTTTCATAAATTTTTACTCAGATGTGTTAAGATCTCCCTATGCTGTTAAATGTGCATCTAATTAATTGCTCTTAGCAGCTACATGATGATTCATATTATATACCGACCATGTTTTACCTCCTCCCATTATTCCAAGAAATGCTGCACTAAACAGCCTCCTCCTTATCCCCTTATGAACCCATGCAAGTTCTTCAGGAAGCAGAATTACTGGGTCATTAGGTTTGCATACACTTAATTTAACTAATTGCTGTTGGCTTGCTCTTTAGAGTGACTGCATCAGTGTGCACTCCCATCTGCAGTGCGTGAGGATCCCCACGTCCCAACATCTTTGCTAACGCCTGGTATTAGTTAGCTTTCTCATTTCTGCCAACCATTAAGTTGTATCTTATTTGTGATTTAGTTTGCATTTTTCTAATTGCTAATGAGTTTTAGCATTGTTATATATACTTGTTAGCCTTTTGAGCTTTCATTTCCATAACCTGCCTGTACCTTTCCTTTGCCTATTTTTCTGTTAAGGCTGTTTTATTTTATTAGCATTGCTTTGCAGGAGTTCCTTATGTTGCGATGCAAACAATCCATTGGTTACAGACATTGTACTTATTCATTCTGTCTTCTATTAATTTGGGCCATGCTTCCTAAAAATACAGATTGGTAATTTTGAAATAATCATATTCATCAATTTTCTTTGCCTTACTGTTGTGTTTTTAAAAGTTTTTATGAAGTCATTTCCTCTTTCTAATTCTATATTAAAACATTCTACTATAATTTCTTCTATTAACTTTATAGTTTGACAGTAGGTCTTTAATGTATCTGGAGTCTACTTTTGAGTGTGATGTTAGGTAGGAACCCAGGTGTTATTCTCCATAGAGTGAGCCAGTTTTCCCAATTGATTAAAACAATCTGTTTTCCCAACATATGGTACGTTATTCAGCTCTTTACATTTCTCAGCATCTGAGTCTTGCAAGAAAGGAAACATGATCTGTTCCCTAAAACTGCTCCCAATCTCTTTGGAGAGATGAGAGGAACATGAAATTGAATAGCATGACACGATATAATTAAGGATTAAATTGTATGTTGAGGAAAGAAGTACAAAAGAACTTCAAAGAAGAGGAAGATCAACTAGGGTTCCCATGGTCTGGAAAGGCTTTGTATTGTTGTAGCCCTCTTTGAAGAAGACTGGTGTCCCTTTCCATCCACTCCCCACTAAGTTACCCTAAGAATTACAGGAAGGGTTCATGCCTCATCCTGAGCCACTCCTATTTATTGTTGTTAAATTCCAATGAGTAAAACCAGATTCTTCTCTCTGCACCATAGGGGTGCTCACTAGACAGCCAGGACAAACAGGTTGCAGTCCTGTTCTTCCTCATAATTTGAGATTTAACTATTTGAATGCGAATGGAGATGTAAAAGTAAAATGAATTCATGCTCAGATACTGCTAAAACCCATCCCAGTTCCCTGAGATAGTGGCACAGACATGTCTCATCTTTCATATAATTCTTCAGAGAAGACACCAGTAACCAGAAACCAGTAATTCATGACACTCCCAAATGGATAGGTCACTTTCATCATTATTATAAGTTTGAGTAGTGTCACTGACAGAGGGAGTACTTTATTTGGAAAAATATATTTCAGATATATCAAGAAATACTTTTAAATTATAAGGTCATTACAAATAACACCATGACAATAACATAGCTAACATGTATTGAATGCTAAACACCACATTAAGCATCCTATGTGTCATTTTAGTTAATCCTCAAAAAACAGCCTTATAAGGTAGGAACAATTACTATCACATTTTTACAGATGAGAAAACTAAGGTACAGAAAAGTTAATTTACTCAAGATCACACAACCAGTAAGTGATATAGTTGGGACTTGAGATTACATGTTCTTAATAAACTATCATCCATAAGAATCATCTATGTGATTTTCTTTCCCATCAACCATCCCATAAAATACCAGAAATCAAGTAATTATTCCTGGTACATTTGTCTCTCTCAACTATACTATTAACATGGGTTAGTGATCACCATCTGCATTAGCACAGGCAACAGTTGGGAATTTTCTTATTGCGGTTGTGTCTCACCAAAAAACAAAAACAATACTCTACTCCTATACCCAAAGCAGTTCTAAATTTTATCTTCTTTGTACCCAGGTACACTAAGAACAGGGCCTGAAATGATCCTCAAAGTATCCTTGAGCTTATGTGTCTAGAGTTGTAGTGACAAAAAAAAATTGGAAACAGAAAGTGATGCAAGGAGAGGAATATAATTAGGAGCACTCTGTAAATGAATTAGAAGGCAGAAGTGAGATTTGGCTCAGATCAACACTGAAGCAGGAAGTTCTTCAGAGAAAAGGCAACTGTGTCAAGGTACACTTAAACTTAACAAAGGAATTAAACTATTTAAAGTTTGGGGTTGAATAAGGTAAGAAAGGTAAAAGACACCTCATGCTTGGTGAAGGGCTACAGCCCTATGCCTAGAGAGAACAGATTGGATTTGGAAACTTTCAGAAAAAAATAAGCAGATGTTACAAAGAATCTTGTGTTCAGAAGTTAGAAAAATTGGATGTAGAGAGTGGCTGAGTC